CAGGATTTCCTCCTTTTCTAAGTTTAAATACTTGTATTCAGAATAATAATCATATTATTAATTTTTACTTCATAATACTTAAGTATGAACAATACTATTCAAAATGGTACTAATAATGAATAAAAATGATTTCACTAACCATAATAGATTTTTTGAAGCCATTATGGTTCTATTCATAAGATCACACACACACACACACACACCATCACCGAATGATGCATAGTCATGATGTGTGAATATCTTGGTTGTTGGGATTAATTGCTCAGTAAATCTGGGCATGTGGAGATTATTAACTATGCTGATAGGGTACCATTCACTTCTCTGTTGTGAGTTCTAAGCAACTCAAATACAGTATCAACTAAAACCATCAGGGACATGCTAATGCATATATATATATATATAAATATATCCTACACACATATAATCATATTATATATATGCACTGACACTTAACATTTTTTTCATTTCTTCCACTCTGATTTATTTATCTTTTCTTTCTTCTTCTGGCTTACTTGCTTGTTAGATAAGACTTTATTATACCAAAAAGAAGTGGTGAGATGAATATCCTGGTTTTGTTCTTGATCTTAGAGGAAAAGCTTTTGGTTTTTACTGTTGAGTGCTGCTAGCTAAAGGCATGCTATATGTGATTACTGTTACATTTCTTTTGAATCTAATGTGCTGAGAGTTCTCAATATGTGTGCTTATTGGATAGTTTATTATTTATTTATTTTTATTTTATATGTATGAGTGATTTGCCTACATGTATGTAAGTGCATCATGTCATGCAATTCCCATTGAGGTCAGAAGAGGGAGTCAAAAGAGATCCCCTGGAAATGGAATTATAGATGGTTGTTAGCTGCCATATGGGTGCTGGGAATTGAACCCAGGTCCTCTGGAAGAAGAGCCAGTGCTTTTAACCACTGAGCCATCTCTTCTGCCTCTGCTTCTTGGATTTTCTTTCTCTGTGCATATTCAAATTAGTCTGGTTTTTTTTTTTCGCCTTCATCCTATTAACACTGTGTAACATATTTATGTATTTGACTATATTGAACCATCCTTTCATCCCAAAGACACATCCTACTTGGTCCTGGTGTGTAATGCTGCATGATCTCTATAACACAAAATTCATAAAGGTCAAAGTCACAGAAGCACAGATTAAAATGGAGTTTGTTCCTGCCCACTGTGTGTGGCACCATTCCTCGAGGTTAGATCCTGGCCTGTATAAAAAGCAGAATGTAAAGGACTGAAAAGATGGCTCAGTGGTTAAGAGCTCTTCCCTGAAGTTCCAGCCGCTGTGACTTCCCTGCTACAAAGGATTGCAACCTCAAACTGTGAGCTGAAATAAACCCTTTCTCTCTTGAAAACAATAATGTTTGTCAGGAACTTTGGGTTGAGATGGGAATGGAAGATGCTGCTTGAAGAGTACAAAATCTCAGTTATGAACAACAGAATGTCTCGGGACAATGGAATATATACAAGATATATGTTCTTAACAGTATTGTGCTTTGTATTAGAAAATTATTCAAATAGTAGATCTTAAATAGTCTCACCAAAAATTAAAAAGATAACTATATCAGATGATGGATGTGCTTAGTTTGTGGTAATCATTTCACAATGTGCATGCAAATTAATCACCTTATATAGCTTAAATATAAAACTTTTATTTTTTTACCTCAATAAAGTAAAAAAAAAGTCTTCATGTATTTTGACATTGTTAATATAGTATTGTCAGTTACATTTTAGGAAATTCTTCATGATCAGTGTGACTTAGATATCAAGGTCTATTATATTTTAATATGCATTGATAATGTTTGTCAAGTTACTGAGAATATTGGAC